TTATTAGCTTCATATGAACCAGATTCATATTTTTTGCTTTGTTTTGTGTTGTACATTGTTACTTTTTAAAAAGATTTGTGAATTATTGCTTCAGACGTTAACTGCTGATGACAAACACAACCTCAATAAAACTTCTGAGCCTCAAGATCCTATCTGTAATTTGTTCCTCTTATATGGACATGATTATATTTATGTTTCTGTCATATGTATTAAGTCATACAATGCATTCTGGTAAGAGGTTGTGGTAAGTTATTGATGTGTAGATACATTAGTAAATTGTTGATATAAAACACTGAAATCTATAGGTTTTAACATAGTTCTCTCTATATATATGTATATATTTGAAACAGGATTTCACTGTAGCCCAGATTGTCTCTTAACTTTTGTAGAGCAGGGATTAGCTTGAACTCCTGCCACTCCTCTTCAATTGTTTGGATTGGCTCTTGCGCCACTATTTGGACTTCCTTTTCAAAGAAATGTTTGGGGATTCTGTGTGTGTGTGTTTTAGGATTTCTCTGAGTTTGCTCAGGCCAGTCATGAACTCATTGGGTAGCCCAGGCTATCTTCATCAGTGTCCTGGGAATAAGAGATCACAGATTGACACTACCAACTGACCAAGCAAGGGCTGTAGTTCAGTGAGTGCTTGCCTAAGTGCTTGCCTGTCCTATATAAATCCCTGCATTCCATCTCTAGTAAGTACTGCCAGAGATTTTTTTTTTTTTTTTTTTTTTGTTTCTCAAGACAGGGTTTCTCTGTGTAGTCCTGGCTGTCCTGGAACTCACTCTGTAGACCAGGCTGGCCTCAAACTCAGAAATCAACCTGCCTCTGCCTCCCAAGTGCTGGGATCAAAGGCATGCGCCACCACCACCCAGCCAGAGATTTTTTTCTTAGTAAAGAGTATTCTTTTGGGGCCGGGCGGTGGTGGTGCACGCCTTTAATCCCAGCACTTGGGAGGCAGAGGCAGGAGGATTTCTGAGTTCGAGGCCAGCCTGGTCTACAGAGTGAGTTCCAGGACAGCCCGGGCTACACAGAGAAACCCTGTCTCGAAAAACCAAAAAAAAAACAAAAAACAAAAAAAAAAGAGTATTCTTTTGTAGCATATCTAAAACTTCTAAAGCAAAAATGAAGATTATTGCATTATATTAAACTATACATTTATATGTAAGAGTTAAAGGAATCCAAACGATAAAAGTGCAGATAGTGGGCTTAGGGGTGCCTCGTTTCATTTAGCACTTCAGAGTCAGAGCAAGTGGATCAGTTAGGTGAGGCCAGGCTTTGAGACCCTGTAATTGCATGCGCCACCACTGCCCGGCAGTTTTGTATATGTTACTACACATTTTTTCATTGTTTTTTGAGACAGTGTTTCATGTAATCCAGGCTGGCCTAAAATTTACTGTAAAATGAAGATTGGCCTCTACCTGTTAAATCTTCCTTCACCTTTCAAGTGCTAGCATTACAGCTTCATGCCACCACACCTGGCTTTCAGCAGACTTTTTTTTTGGTTGAAAAGTAATTTTGCCATGCGTTAAAAAAAAATGTGTTAATGCCGGGCAGTGGTGGCGCATGCGATTAATCCCAGCACTTGGGAGGCAGAGGCAGGTGGATTTCTGAGTTCGAGGCCAGCCTGGTCTACAGAGTGAGTTTCAGGACAGCCAGGGCTACACAGAGAAACCCTGTCACCAAAAAAAAAAAAAAAAAAAAGTGTTAATACATGAGTATTTGTAAGTTTCTTTTTGCCATTCTTTATATATATATATTTTAAAGCATCACATTAAATACCATTAAAAAGTGCAATTTTACTTGTCAACTTAAAAAAAAAGTAGGATTAAGTGTGGGAAAATATAGAAAAGCACAAAAGTGAGCTAGAAGGTGTTACTGCCTAAGGGAAACGACTGATACTGTTTGTTTTGCTCTCTGCAGTCTTTCTTGTGCAGGACATGGGATGTTAATACTGTTTAATACTTTTCAAGGATCAATTATCTGTTCATTTAGAACAGGGTTTTATTGTGCAACTCTAGCTGGTCTGGAACTCACAGAAATTTGTTCCTCCCAAGCTTGAAATTAAAGGCTTGTACCTTGCTTGGCTCCACTTGTTTGTTTAGAGACAAGGTCTCATTTAGCTCAAGATGGCCTCAAGACTGCTCTTACAGGCAAAGGGTTCCTTTTGCTTCTTTGGCTCTCCTGCTCCATCTTCCTAACGCTGGTGTCACAGATAAACCTCCATGCCTATACTTTTTTTTAAAAAATCAATCTGCTGGGGTCGAAAGTGTACACCTTTAATCCCAGCACTCAGGAGGCAGAAGCTTGTGGATCTCTGGATTGCATGCCGGGCTTGTAGTGAAAGCCGGGCCAGCCAAGGCTACATAGTGAGACCCTGTCTATAAAAACTAAAAAATAAAAAAAAGTACAGTTCATCAATTTATAGTCCATGCTCAGTTAATAACATTTCCCATGATTATTCATGACCTTAGATTCAAGTGTGAGTTTTGAATTCACATGTGATTCTAGAGAATCAATCATTTCATGTTTAAATAGTTATTAAGCTACACTGAGATGGCTGTCTTTATTGTATGCTGTCTTCAGGGGTGAAGATAGAATTGAAAGGGGAAAGGAGGTTAAGTATGTAAACAGTTTTCTTTGAATGCTTCAAGGTCTGGGATTGTCACTCAGTTAGTGAGTAGACTGCCTGGCATGTAGGAAGTTTAGCACCGCTTAGACTGGTGTGGCGGACTTGAGAGGCAGGATCAGTTCAGAGCTTGGCTAATATGAGAAGAGGGAAGGAAAGCAACAGTGTGGCACAGGAGGAAGAACAGTGTAGTGTGGTGGTTTACAGTTTAAGGACAGTCTGGGCTACACAGTAAAACCTTATCTTACTGTGGTAAGGAATCAAACCAATTCATAGCTCATGGTAAACGCTTACTTGGGGATATAGTTAGGGTTCCTTAGCATGTGTTCTCAGCCATAGTGTGGCAGTGGTAACACCAGCAAAATTTTAGTGTCAAGTTGAGTGTTATTTACAAACAGGAGACCTAGGATATCATAGATTTGTCATAGTTCTGCTATCAAAAATTATTCTGTAACTAAATTCACAATCACCAATCAACTCTAATTAAGTAATGAATGATAGAGTGGTAGGGAGCACTTAAGAGCTTTCTCTTAAAATACGAGTTAACTTAGACATGGAACATGAAATGTCTAATCCATCTTCCCTCCAGACTTAATTTCAAAATTAAACTTAGTGTGTAGTGTGTGGGCAGTATTTAAATGTGTGTGCATATGTGCGATGGTGCAAGTGTGGAGGTTAAAGGTTAGTGTCAGTTCTCTCTTTCTACTTTTTTTGTTTTGTTGAGACAGGGTTTCTCTGTGTAGTCCTGGCTGTCCTGGCTGTCACTCTGTAGACCAGACTCAGTAGGCCTCAAATTCAGAGATCCACCTGCTTCTGCCTCCTGAGCACTGACTTAATGCATGTGCCACATCGCCAGGTGTCTCTACTTTTATTCAGATTCGAGGGATCAAACTCAAGCTGTTTGACTAATGATTCACCTCATAATGCATCTTGCAACCCCTCATAACCTTTTTTTTTTTTTTAGTTCATAAAAATAAGAAATATATATGGTATCAGACAGTGGTGGTGCCTGCCTTTAAAAGATTTGCGGCTAAGCCTGACTACCCAAGTTTGATCCCAAGGATGCACACATGGGTTGAGAGAGAACCAGCTCTTACATACTATCCTCTGATATCTGTGCACAGACATATGGCACATAAATACAACTTTAAAATTAGAAGGGGGGGGCTGGTGAGATGGCTCAGTGGTTAAGAGCACTGACTGCTCTTCCAGAGGTCATGAGTTCAAATCCCAGCAACCACATGGTGGCTAACAACCATCTGTAATGATATCTGATGCCCTCTTGTGGGGTGTCTGAAGACAGCTACAGTGTACTTACATATAATAAATAAATAAAAATTAAAAAAAAAAAAATTAGAAGGGGACTGGAAAGGATTAGGCTTTGTTCTTAGCAGCTCATAACCTCTGCTGGGCTCCACATCTAGGGAATCTGATGCCTTCTGGCCTCCCTGGACACCTTCATACCCACACAGATGTGCTGTATATGAACTCATGTAGCCTCACATAAGTAAAAATAAGTTATAATAATAATAATACCACCAAGCAAAACACTGTTTTTGACTTAAGATAGAATTTCCATTGATTGATACATTCAGACTTAGAAATCTGTCACTACTTATTAATAAAAATGATATATTTTAAAAATTTCTATAACCAAAAGCATGGCTTTTAGATACATTTTAGACATATGGATAACTTAAATAAATTTTATGACATTTTCAAGTAGGTTGGGGTGAAATAGCATTTTCTAAGTTTTTGTTTGTCATTTTGAGATAGGGTTCATGTAACCCAGCCGAACCTCAAGCTTGTTATCAGTTGATGCCAGCCTTGAACTTCTGACCTACCTCTGCTTACGAAGTGTGGGATTATGGGCATATGCCTCCATCTGCTAGGGCAGTATTTTAAGAAGGACTGGGCATGTTAGTATACACCTTTAATCCAAGACTCAGGAGATACAGGCAGGCAGATCTGTTAGTTCTTAGCCAGCCTGGGCTACATAGTGGGACCTTATCTATACAAGAAAAGTGTTTTGTAGAGGTGCATTTTTTTTTTTTATTTACATAGGTAGCCATATTTCCGATCAAGTACTTTTTAAAGTTTTATATTTTCAGGTAGATGAGAAACTAGTATTTGGCTGGGCGTGGAGGTACATACTTGTAATCCTGATGCTTAGGAAGTAGACTGATGACAGCTTGAGCTGCACACCAGCTTGAGGTATATAGTAGAGACCCTCGGGAGGGGACATACGTATGTATCTCATTATGGTCTAATTCATGTACTACTTATGTATTCATTTGTTTGTCTTGTTTTTTCAGTTTCAGTAATAGAGAAAAACATTTGTTCTATGTTTACACAGATTTTTTTGATTGTTTAGCAGGTGACATCTAAAGGCACTGGTTTAAATCCTAATGCCAAAGTATGGCAAGAAATTCCTTCTGGAAATCCTGATGGCACTCCTGTAACTGAAACCTCTTGGCATGAAACTGCAGCCACATCTGGATCTCACCCTGAGGGTAAGTCTTAACTCCTTATTGAAACATTGCATTTTGTTTAAATGTATGGTCAGATCAACTCAAACAACCTTGAGATAGCCTTTGTGTAAGAAAAGTTAACTAAAGAAGAAAGATTCACTTTGACTCATGAGGTTTTGGTTCATAGTAACTGAGTCCCATTACTTTGGGTCTTTTGGGGAGACAGGATATGACTGGGGGAGTCTCCCGAGGGAGCAGAGTTGCTCATGTCACGGGGCCAGGAATCCTAGAACCTTAGAGGAAAGAGTTCAGAGACCTGCCACCACAGAGCTCCTCTCTTCAACTAGGTTCCACCTCTTAAGTTGCCAACATTTCCAAATAGTTTACAGGATTGTGAGCTCCTCAGCAGATTAATATGTGTGGAGTTAGTCAGAATTTTACTAGTCATGTATAACCAAAGCTGCACTGATGGCCAAGCTTATTTCTTGAACACTTGGGAAGCCTTTTTGGATCTAAACAAAGATTTAATGAAATGTGTTTATAAATGTTTAGCTTGTATTTGTATATGATTTTTTTTATGCCTTACATGAGTAGTCAGTAATTTCAAGTACAACGTGTGTTTTTGGGTCAGCATCTAGCCCATTTGTATACAGTGTATCATTTATAATTTCTTACAGGAGTAGTTTACAGTGAACTTATTGACCTTTGGCAGTTAACTTCATTGAACTTATTTCCTTTATCCACAGAATAGAAATAATAAAAGTAATAGCTGATGACTGTGTATAATGTTTTCAGAAAAGTAAACAAAGGAATTGTGCACATTTGGATACATAGAGTGCTAGCTTATCTACAATGGTCAAAATGCTGTCTGTCTCCCTTCAAAAATAACACTGAACTTCAGCTGTTGGACATTTTTTCCAACTAGTACCATTGTTTGAAATCTTATATCTTTGAAGATATAACTCAAGAGTTTCTTCCTGTTTACATTCAGTGCCTTTTCTTGAAAACAGGCAATACAGAACTTTCAGAAGATATGTGTAAGGAATATGAAGTAATGTATTCTCCATCTTGTGAAACCACAAGAAATACCACAGACATTGAAGAGTCAGCTGATGGATTGATCTTAGGACCTGAAGACCTGAGTTACCAACTATACGATGTTTCTGGTAACCCTTGTTGTTTTATTGCTAAAATGAGAATTTAGTATCTTTAGCTCTCCATCAGTTGAGTAAACATGACATTGGTCAGTTTGTTTTCTTTTTTAAAAAAGAAGCTTATGTCAAACAACTATTAGATGTTTATTAAAACTATTATTGGCTAGTACCCAGACATAAAATTTGTAATTTGAGAAAGAATCTTTGTAAAGTCCTGTTAAAGAAAAATGAAATTATCAGGAGAAAATATAACTATATTTCAAAAATTGTAGGTTTTTCAGTTGATTAGTTAAGATTATTATTACAAGTTTAACCAAGTTTTCTACCAGTTTTGTTAACATGAAATTTATTTTAAAGTAAAATAAATGTTTTACAACAAAACTGGGTGGTGGTAGTGCATGTCTGTCTTTAATCGCAAGCAGATCTGAGTTTAAGAAACAGCCAGAGTTACACAGAGAAACCATGTGTTGTTTTTTTTTTGTTTGTTTGTTTGTTTTTTTGTTTGTTTGTTTTTCAAGACAGGGTTTATAGCCCGGGCTGTCCTGGAACTCACTCTGTAGACTAGGCTGGCCTTGAACTCAGAAATCCTCCTGACTCTGCCTCCCAAGTGCTGGGATTAAAGGTGTTCGCCACCACCGCCCAGTGAGGAACCATGTTTTGGGAAAACAAAACAACAGCAGTGTGCGTGTGTGTGTTTGTGTTTCTGTGTGTGTGTGTTCTAAATAGGTAGGGGTAGCCTTCATTCCTAATCCAGCATCTTACTGCAGGTAAGAAAAGTGACTCATTTAGTTTACGTTTGGAAAGGAGAGTTCTGTGCAGAAATTGCATACACAGGCAAAAAGGCTCATGAGGTAATTGTGCTTTGCCCTGTGCAAGTCTAGCAGCCTAAGTTTAGTTCCCAGAGCCCAGAGCCCAGGTTCAGATAGACAAAAGAACTAACCTTACGGAGTTGTCTCTAATACGCACACTTAATTGTTTATGTGTGTGTGTGTTTTCTAGATATGTGTGCCTATAGAGACCATAGGGTTGCATCTTCCTGGAGCCCAAGTTACTTATGATTGTTGTGCACCCAACATGGGTGCTGGGAATCAAAATTGGGTTTTCTACAATGGTAGTTCACACTCCTGACTACCAGGTTACCTCTCCAGCTGGTAATAACTTTTAAAAAACAAGATTCCACAGGGGCTGGAGAAATTAGGCTCATTGGTACTCTTCCAGAGGACTTGAATTTGACTCCTAGCACCCACATGGCTGCTCAGAATCATCTAACTCCAGATCTAGAAGACCCGATGCCCTGTTCTGACCTCTAGTCACACCAGACACACATGGTGTAAAGGGATACATGTAGACAGAACATGCATTCACATAAAATAATTATGTAAAAAGTGTTTAAAGATCGAATATACATAGAATGGAAAGCATTTATTATTAAAGTTAATTTAACACTAATTCTTGAGTAGTAGCGTAATTTTCTAGTAAAATCATAGACAGTTTATCCATCTCCATACATCTTATTGTCTGTATATTTAAGTACAGCTATTAGTCATCTTTTTAAAAAGATTTGTTTTTATTATGTATACAGTTTTCTGCTTGCATGTATGTCTGTACACCAGAAGAGGTCACCAGATCTCATTATAGATAGTTATGAGCCACCATGTGGTAGCTGGGAATTGGAACTTGGGGCCTCTGGAATGCAGCCAGTGATTCTTAACTTCTGAGCCATCTCTCCAGCCCTGTTAATAGTCATTTTAGAAGAGAAAATGTTATGGCTGTGGAAGTGCTCAGTAAGTAAAGTATGTCCTGTGTCCTGAATCCCAGCACCCACATATAAGCTCAGCATAGTACTGGATTTAAGTCTGTAATCTTAGTATTGGTTAGCAGAGACAGGCAGATCCTTCGAACTAGCAGGAAAATGGATTCCAGGTTCTGTGAGAGATCTTGTCTCAGAGTAAGGTGGTGAATGATAGATGACACCAAACAGACTTCTGGCCTCTGTGCATGCATGGAAAGTTCATGTGTGTGCATGTATACATCACACGTGTACACACTATAAGAATACATATGCTTGGGGCTGGATAGATGGCTCAGTGGTTTAGAGTACTGACTGCTTTTCTAGAGGTTCTGAGTTTAATTCCCAGCAACCTCATGGTAGTTCACAACCATCTGTAATGGAATCTGATGCCCTCTTCTGGTGTGTCTGAAGATAGCTACAGTGTACTCATATACATACTCATACATTAAATAAGTGAATAAATCTTTAAAAAAAAATAGAGGCATATATTTTTAGTCTTAATTTTTTTTTTTTTTTTTTGGTTTTTCAAGACAGGGTTTCTCTGTATAGCCCGGTCTGTCCTGGAACTCACTCTGTAGACCAGGCTGGCCTCGAACTCAGAAATCTGCCTGCCTCTGCCTCCCAAGTGCTGGGATTAAAGGCGTGTGCCACCACCGCCCAGCTTAAATTTTTGAATAAAATTCTAATAATGGCCTGTTTCTGGTTTTCAGATTTTAACAAAGATTAGGGCAATGTTTTAACATCATAGTATCCAAATGCTTTTATTGTTAATGGTCCTTAATATTTCTTTTGAAATTGTGTGCGTGTGTGAGAGGGTGAGAGAGAGGAGAGAGAAGAGAAAGAGGGAAGGGAGATTTTTTTTCTTTTTATTCTTCTTTTCTGGAAGAGGAGATCTTTACTTTGTTTTTTGAGACAGAGTCTATCATTCGCTTAGGACTCACCTATTGGGTTGCACTGGCTGGCTAGTGAGCTCCAGGGATCCTCCTGTTTTCATGGGTTCGTGCTTGTGTGGTAAAGCACTTTCCCAGCCCTTAAATATCTGAGCCATGTCTCTGACACTGCATATTGAAATCCATTATTTCTACACACATCCTAGATGAATACTGCTGTATTTTGGAGTTGTGGGTCCTAGCTCAAAATATTGCTCAAAAAAGGTATAAGTTGAAAGAAATTAGACTTAATTTTAAAATACAGTTTTGTGTTACATGTTAATTTGTGGTTATTCTTTGACTTCTGAGTGTGTTAGGTTTCAGCACCTGTAATAACTTCGTAACAGTTTTCGTCCCTCTTGTTTTCTGCCATCAGGAGAAAGCAGTTCAACGATTTCTACGGAAGATTTAAAAGAATGTTTGAAAAAACAATTGGAATTCTGTTTCTCACGGTACAGAACCTTTTGAATTGATTCCTTTTTGTGGTTTTGATTGGTGGGCATAAAATGCCTGTGTAATGGGAGGTCATCATCTCCTTCCACCATGGATTTTGTTATCTTTCTTGAGTGTATTTCTTCACTAGACTTTTAGAAGTATAGCCTGTGTTTGGATTTGTATCTCTTTCCAACAGTTAGTGAGGTTTCTATTGCATACTTTTCCTAGAATCCTATTTAGACTGAATTTTCCATAAGCATTAGGTTAAAGTAATTTTTAAAAAATAGTGGAATAGAAGGAATGGAAAATATCTCAATTTAAGTTTTTAGCAGTTGGCTTTTGTAACTTTTGAACAGTAATTTTAGCAAGATCATAAAAAGACAGGCTGATAATCAATATTATCGTTGATTTGTCTTAAAGTCTTTTTAGGCAAATGTTTCAAAATGGTTTTATAGGTAAAAAATTATATGGAAACATTTATTGTTGCTCAGACACCATAAAGTTTCAGTTCAAGTTGGGCGGTAGTGGCGCACGCCTTTAATCCCAGCACTTGGGTGGTAGAAACAGGCGGATTTCTGAGTTCAAGGCCAGCCTGGTCTACAGAGTGAGTTCCAAGACAGCCAGAACTACACAGAGAAACCTTGTCTCCGAAAAAAAAAAAGTTTCAGTACATTGTAACATACACCATTAATCAGTAATCCTGGCACTGGGGAGGCAGAGGTTGGTGAGTGTCTAAGTTGAAGGCCAGTCTTGTCTGCATTGTGAGTTCTAGGGTGGCCAGGGCTATCTGTATAGAGAGACATGTCTCCAACAAAACAAAACAAAGGCTATTTATAAAATTAAAAATTTGAACATACATGGATATGTAGTGCTTTCCCTTTTCCTGTCTGGTGAGCTTGTTTTCCAAGGTTCTTCTATGCGAGAGCTTAGATTTTATTACATGCTTTCTGTGTGTGTGTTTTGGTTGCTTTGATTCTGTGAGACAGGGTCTCACTTTGTAGCCCTAACTTTCCTGGACCACATCATCCTGCTTCTGCCTCCTGAGTAAAAACATGCACCAGCACACCAGGCAAGTTCTGAGTCACCAACCCCTAGCCCCTGGCTGGGTCTTTAACCTGGAGCCTCACACGTGCTATAGAAAATTAATGCTGAGTCACTGAGCTGTAATCCTCAGCTCTGATTCTCAGGTGAATAATTTGTTTTCCTTGATGGTTACCAAAGCTATTTTGTTTTCTAATCCACCCCCCCACACTGTTTTTTATTTATTTAGTGGTGTTGAAAATTAAATCCTGGGCCTCATGAGTACTAGGCATCGACTCAACCACTGTGCTGTACCCCATTCATCAAGTTTTTTATGTCCAGTAGTAGACATTTTGCCACAAGAAAATACTTTCCTTTTTCTATGGCTTATGTTTGAGACAGGCTTCTTATGCAACCCAAGCAGCCCTCAAATTTGTGATTCTCCTTTCTCAGCCATTCTAGGAGCAGTGGAATTATAAGCATGCATTGTCACAAGTAGCTGAAGTAATTAGATTTTAATCTATTTAGTTTTTTTGTTTTTGTTTATGACAACAGCTTACTCTGTAGCCAAGGCTGACCTCGAATTCACTTATGAGCCCAGGCTGGTCTTGAATTCTCAACAGCCCTTTTTCTGAATTTCTAGTCCTGAAATTAATGTGAACAATTAATTTTCCATAGCATATTTTAAAAATTAGGTTCTTACATACTTACCATTTGTGGAACCCCTTCTTTTGTCTTGCATATCATCATGTCTCCTGCCTCACAACATTCCCCCCTCCCACTCTGAATCTTTTGTTTGTTTTTTGTTTTTTCTGTGGATTTTTGTTTTTGTTTTTTTTTTTGTTTTTCTGAGACAGGGTTTCTCTGTATAGCCCTGGCTGTGCTGGGACTCACTCTGTAGACTAGGCTGGCCTCGAACTCAGAAATCCGCCTGCCTCTGCCTCCCAAGTGCTGGGATTAAAGGCCTGCACCACCACTGCCCATTCCACTCTGAATCTTACTTTTGAATTTTAAACATTTCTGTTTGTGTCTACCTGTAGCCTGGAACTCACTATTTAGCCCAGGCTGGTCTTAAATTACAGAGATCCACATGCCTCTGCCTCTCATGTGCTGTGATTATTAAATAATGCATGCTGTTATCTTTAGCCCTTGATCCTCTTACCAGTTTCCTTCATTTTTTTTATTTGTAATTTTATGTTTATGACTGTATGTGCTTAAGTATGTGTGTGCATTACTTATTTGTTGTGCCCACAGAGGCCAGAAGAAGCCATCTGATCTCTTAAAGACAGTTGTGCACTGCCATGTGGGTGCTGGGAACTGAACTTGAGACTTCTACAGGAGCAGCAAGCACGCTAAACCCCAAGCCACCTCTCTAGGCCCTCTATTCCTTCCTTCCTTTCTTTCTTTCTTTCTTTTTTTTCTTTTTTTTTTTTTGGTTTTTCGAGACAGGGTTTCTCTGTATAGCCCTGGCTGTCCTGGAACTCACTCTGTAGACCAGGCTGACCTTGAACTCAGAAATCCGCCTGACTCTGCCTCCCAAGTGCTGGGATTAAAGGCGTGCGCCACCACTGCCCAGCCTTAAAATGATTTTTTTAAACTTGTGATTATGGGCTGACTCTCTGAATTTGGATTCAAGAGATGCATTGGGGTCGGGCGTTGGTGGCGCACGCCTTTAATCCCAGCACTTGGGAGGCAGAGGCAGGCGGATTTCTGAGTTCGAGGCCAGCCTGGTCTACAGAGTGAGTTCCAGGACAGCCAGGGCTATACAGAGAAACCCTGTCTCGAAAAACCAAAAAAAAAAGAGATGCATTGGATAATGATAAAACAAGGCCGTTTGTTTACTCACATCATGGGTCCCAGCTGGGTTCACCTTTCAGTCCTCCCATGTCTACCACCATCCCTAAAGAAAAGTCTATGTTGTGTTGTTTGTATGCTCACTGAAGCATACAAACTCCCCATAATTCCTTTATAAGATCAACCTCAGCTGCGTAGCCCAATGATATAGACTGGCCTTAAATATGTAATTCTCCTGTTTGAGCCTCTCTGTTGCTGGGATTACAAGGGTGATTCCACACCCGGGTAATCAGTTGCTTTATTGTACTTTCTGTAAATGTTGGTTTATACTGTCTTCAACCTGACTTACAGTTCCCCATCTGCCTCCTTAAAGTCCTAGGAAACATTGAAAAAAAAAAAAATCCATTGTGCATTAGAGGTATCTGTGATTTTTAATTAATAGTGCCAGTTCTTTGCCTAATATATACAACATAACCACATTCCTACACACAACTATTCACTCAAATCTGTTTCTCCGGTTTCCCCTTACTGGTTGTCCAGGAAAGTTACTCTGAACCATGATACACAGATGTATTCTATAAGAAAAAAATATTCCGTTTTTGTTTTGTTTTTCAAGACAGGGTTTCTCTGTATAGCCCTGGCTGTCCTGGAACTCACTCTGTAGACCAGGCTGGCCTTGAACTCAGAAATCCGCCTGCCTCTGCCTCCCAAGTGCTGGGATTAAAGGTGTGTGCCTCCACCGCCTGGCTTTTTGTTTTTTTTAAATATTCCTAATACTTGAGTAATTTTGTCCTTGAAGCTTCCAGAGCGCTCTCTCATGTCTGCAGAAACATGATGTTTGCAATTGATATAGCCTTTTTAGTTTCTGCAATAAGAGTGTTTGTTCAGGATCTACCAGTTTGACAAATATAATTTTTAGCTCAGCAACATTGCCGATGTAGATGATAATACCAGGTTCTACTTGTGTACTTAGGTGTGCTATCAATTTCATTTACTTTTGACAATTCTCATTTAAAGCACTTTGATACTGGTTGATAAGAATAGGGATACTGTAAGGTTACAGCTTTTTAATTGTTCAATTGTTTATAGATATCTGATTTTCAAGTTATTAAGTAATATTTATTACAGTGATGTTAATTTGACAGATCTTTTATGACCCTTCCCCCAACAAATAACTTGTGACCTTTTAGTTTTATAAACTGAATAGAATAATAACTATCTTAAGTTGAGTCTTTCCTTAAAGGTCTTTGAGCTTACCATTTGCCCATAAAAAAGACTTTTTTATTTGTGTGGTTGTTTTGCCTGTACATATGCCTGCACATCACATACACGAATTGCCTTCAGAAGCCAGAAGAGAGTGTCAGATCCCCTGGAACTGACGTTAACAGTTGGTATGAGCTGCCACGTTAGTGCTGAGAATTAAACCTGAGTTTTCTGGAAAACGATTCACTTCTCTTAACCCCTAGGACATCTCTGCAGCTTCCCATAAGGCCTTTAAAGTATTATCAACCTATGAAGCTCTTTCATGAAACCCATAATCCACCTAGGAGACACAAAACAGTAAATACAGTAAACATACAGCTAGTGTATGTTTAGGTGATGATTGCTGTTGATAAAAAGTTAAAACAGTATAAAGAGGAGAATCTGTTTATTTACTATAGATGCATAACCTTTTAGTTATTCTATTGTTATTTTTCTAGGCGTTGATAAATATGAATATGGTACATGTTTTGCTTTAGGTACTTTTTAGAATTATGTATTATAATTGATTCTGTTTCTTTCAGAGAAAATTTATCAAAGGACCTTTACTTGATATCTCAAATGGATAGTGATCAGTTTGTCCCAATATGGACAGTTGCCAACATGGAAGAAATAAAAAAATTGACTACAGATCCAGATTTAATTCTTGAAGTATTGAGATGTATGTAAATGCCTTTTAGCTTCTTTTTTTAACTATAAAAGTGAAATATTTTTATTTCTGATCATACAGAGATTTGTTTTAAGTGGTCTTTTAATCTGTGTTAGTATGTACATTTGAGTAGCAGCTTCTATGTTGAATCTATAGTTTTCTTATTATTCACATAGGAAGCGTTAAGAATTAACTCTCATTGTTTAAGAATGACATGTTTTATCTTGACTTCACAACTGCTAATAAGTTGCAGTTTATAGTTAGATATTTCCAAAGTTTGATATGAACTTGTCTCTACCTATTCTCTTCGATTTCTCTCCCACCAGTTAATGAGGTCTCATTGTGTAGCTCAAGATAGCGTCAAATTCAGTGTCCTTCAGCCTCCGCCTCCAAACTTCCGAGATATATAGATGGACACCACTGTGACCTGCAAGAGTTTTCTTTCTGTGTAGCCTTGGCTGTCTTAGAACTCATCTGTAGACCAGGCTAGCCTCAAACTCAGAGATCTGCCTGCTTCTTCCTCCCTGGTGCTGGGATTAAAGGTGTGAACCACTGTGCCTGGCTATGGATCGATCTCTCTCTCTCTCTCTCTCTCTCTCTCTCTCTCTCTCTCTCTCTCTCTCTCTCTCTCTCTCTCTGTTGTTGTTTGTTTTTGTTTTTTTGTTTTTTGAGGATTTATTTCTTAACTGAACTGCTGTCCACCTTACTTACCTTTTTTTTTTTAATTTAGTTTAAGCCATGGTGGCACAAGCCTCTGATCCCAGCACTCAGGAGGTAGAGACGAGGACCTCTGTGAGCTCAAACCCACTCAAGTCTACAGGGAGAGTTCAAGGCAGTCAGCTGCATAGAGACACCCTATCTCAAATAACTTACATATGTTTTGTATGTTTTTCCTGCATGTATATGTACACTATACATGCCTGGTGTCCAAAGAGGTCAGAAGGAGGCATCAGATCCCCAGGAGTTATGAATTGTTGTGAACTACCATGGGTGCTAGAAACCAAACATGGATCTTTTGTAAGAGCAACAAGTACTTTAGCCACCATGTGGTTGCTGGGAATTGAACTCAGGACCTCTGGAAGAGCAGTCAGTGCTGTTAACCACTGAGCCATCTCTCCAGCCCTAAAATTCATTTTTATATATACTCATGTTTTTGGTGACTGTGGAACATTCATAATTTCTTAGAACATCATTAGATGTTTTAATTTTAATACTAACTGGACTTTTTACTGGTATGCTTTCTGCATCCACAAGTCTATTGGAATTATTTATTCCAATCATACTAATTGGTTACAAAACTAGCTAGTTGATGAGGCCAGTAAGCTGGCTTAGTAGAGGTACTTGCATGCTCTGTCTGTGCATGCATATGTGCATATGTGCACTTGAGTGTGGGAGTACATAATAGTTTGTCTTATAAATGGGTTTGTTAACTACCTGACTGAATAAAGGCAGGTCTTTGGAAGTTGAACCTCGAACTTTGTGCATGTTAAGTAAGTGCCCTGCATTGAATTGTATCCCCAGCCTTCTCAGATCTTCACTTAATATGTGAGTGAATATTAGTGATGAAATGTGTTCACAAGCTTAAAGCTTCATATAGCAAGTACAATAGTCAATTTTATATAAGGGAGTTGAGGACTTGTATTTCTAGATGGCTGTGTAGTCCTGCTGTCTTCGAGCTCACTCGGTAGAAATCGGCCTGTTTCTGCTTCCCAGGTGCTGGCATTAAAAGCATGTGCTGCCACTGCCGCCTGGCCATTTATAGTATTTCTAAATCATTCGTATAGATGTCATTTCTTAAAACTCAACCAGTCTTAGCTACACAGAAAGTTGGCAGAGCATCTAGAGGGTTATTTTTGGCCTCTGTAGTGATGTACATAAGAGCAGATATGTTGGGGTGAATCCTGGGTTTTACGCTTATCACTAGGAAAAAAAGGAAATATATATTGAAGTGATAATAATAAATGCTTTTTATTTCCTGGAGGATTCTTTGTAACACATTAAATCACAGTGTAGGTGCTCCAGATACTCATTTGGCAAATAACATTCAATTATCTTCTTTGTATATAAACCTACTTTTTTAACATGACACTAATTTTTGACATTTTAACTTCGCATTTGATAATTTATTTGGTTAGAAATTGAACTGAATAGTTTTTAATGGCATCATTAGTATCGTTACCATTTACTTCTAAGTGGGTCATACTCTTCTTTAAATTTCAGCTTCCCCTATGGTACAAGTTGATGAGAAGGGAGAAAAGGTGAGACCAAGTCATAAGCGTTGTATTGTGATTCTCAGAGAAATTCCCGAGACAACACCTGTGGAGGTAAGGAAGCATTGATGATTACTCAAGCTGAGTGTTCTTTGACTATTTAAATTGGAGGAAGCAGGCAAGCAAAGCAGACATCAGTGCTGTCATGTCGATTACTGCTGACTTGTTAGCTCTGAAGGTAGGAGACTGGTATAAACTTACATATTGCAGTAATTCTAGTTTGAATGGATTGTATTGACCTGACTGACAGTTAACCAGGAGGATTCATCTAATAACAAAGGAAGAAAAAGAAAATTTTGAATAAGGATTGGTTAGCAAAATATAAAACAAAGTTATAGTCATAAAGATCAAGTGTGGTTCAGATTCAAGAATAAAATAACATTTGAATAAAAAGTATACTATAGAAACAGACCTTTTAAAAAGACATACGTATCCACATTTACTCAATAATCCTGCCAGGAATCACTTACTTTACAATTCCCCAAAGCGAAAGTTTCATTGTCTGTTTTACAAAGTAACTAAGCCTTAGGATGGGTTAAAAAAAAAAAAAAACCCGCCACCCAGAGGCAAGTGGATTAGATAACTAAATGACAGGCTAGACAGAGCGTCCTCTGATCCCAGAGCTTGTTTCTCTGCTGCTGTGGGACAGAGCTTCGCTGTAAACCGTCTGAGTGTACTGTAAGTTAAAGACCGAATCGCTTAGCAACTAACTTACCTTAATGTATTAGGAGTTTAAAAAAGAATTCTTTAGGTCCTATCCATGTTATATATCTGGAATGTTGACTTACTAAGCCCAAAAGTGGTTGATAGTAAAACTCAGCGGACTTCAGTGATGAAAACAGTTGTAGAGAGCTTCAACTTTTGAATCCAAAATTATGTCTGGTCTCTGGTAATTCCAATAAATGTTACTTTTTATTCTGTAATGATAAATATTTGATATCTCCCCCATCCCCCATTTGTAAGTTCTTTTTACCAGTTAACTACCTTACCTGTTTCAGTTTTGGCGTAGTCTTTCTTTTTAAGTTATACAGTTATAGGAAGGATGTTTGTACAGAGTTCAAATCTGATTCTAATGTAGACAAAATGTCTAAATTAAGAAAGAATGCATGAATGATATTATGTTAGTAAAAATCATAACTTTAAAAAGTTCCCTCCCTATAGGGGAGGAGAATTACTGGAGGCATAGTATTGTAAAGAGTTTAGATTACCTCTAAAACTTCTGTTTTGTTGCTCATAAAATAATGTGCAAATTTTGCACCATACATAACTGCACATGGTTTCATTTTAAGATTTGAATACACTTTTTCCTTTCTAGGAAGTGAAAGCTTTGTTTAAAAATGAAAACTGCCCCAAAGTGATAAGCTGTGAGTTTGCACACAACAGCAACTGGTATATCACGTTCCAGTCAGACACAGACGCACAGCAGGTGAGAAGTTTCTCCTAATAAAAACCTTAGTGGATAAAGTTGTATATGTTGTTGAAGAAGATGTATGTAGACTAGGGGTGTCGCTTAGTGTATAGTTCATGTCTAGGATACATAAGGTCTGTACCACAAAGAAAAAGTCAGATATGGTGGTTTGCTCCTCTAATGCCAGCCCTTGGGAGATAGAAACAGGCAAGATCAGGGGTTCAGGGCCATCTTAGTTACATAAGCGAGTTTGGGGCCATCCTCAGCTATATGAATCCTGCATCAAAAATGGAAAAAATCAGACGTGGTAGTGATGGTGCATGCCTCTTATTACAGCACTCAGCACTGAGGCAGGCCAGCCTAGGATACAGAGTGAGACCATGTCTTAAAAAAAGAAGAGAGAAAATGTTTACTAAGACTGGTAAAGACCTCGACCATACTTTTGCTTAATTGACAGTTAACTTTGATTTTTATCATGCGCACACAATTTTACCAGTTTTAATTTTAAAAATATTTACTTGTCAATGAAAAATATTAACACAGACTTTTCAAATGAATGATTTTGGAATTATGGCCGGGCAATAGTGGCGCACGCCTTTAGTCTCAGCACTTGGGAGGCAGAGGCAGGCGGATTTCTGAGTTCGAGGCTAGCCTGGTCTACAGAGTGAGTTCCAGGACAGCCAGGGCTACACAGAGAAACCCTGTCTTGAAGAACTAAAAAAAAAAAAAAAAAAGATTTGGAATTATGTACTCAATAGTGGTTTTGGTATATACTAGGCCCGCAGTGGGGAAAGGGCTTTTTGTTTTGTTTTGCTTTTTTGATGGGCTAGGGCAGTCTTTCACTCTGAGGCCTAGGCTAGCTGATCTAGAACTCATTGTGGTAGCTTAGGCTGGACTTAGACATGGCAGTCCTCTTCCTCCATATCCCCTGAATGCTGATTTGGCTTTGTTAGTGTATGAGTGAGTGTATTGTCTGTGTGCATGTCTGAATGTGCCAGGTGCAAGGCAAGTAAAGAATGCTTGTGTACCCTGGTACTGGTTACAGATGGTGCTATGCTGGTGCTATGCCAGCCTTAAACTCATGACATTTTTGGTCAGTGTGTGCCACCACTCCCAGCAGATTTAGAAGCTGTTTGCTGGTGATCCCCTGGTCTCTTTGTTCTGCCTTATGTCACAGTACTCCATACCAACTTGATGCATTAACTCCATACAACTTCCAGCTATAACTGGGGAAGTTATGGTTTCTTAATTTTTCCTCTCAGAGTTTGTTGTTCCAGTGTTTTTGCCTTGCTGTGTCCAAGGCTGTGTCCAAGGCTGGCTTAGCCACACAGCAGGCAGAACCTTTTTGTTTAGCTTAGAAGCTGATAATGGCAAACTTACTTAGGAGAATGAAGCTGTAATGAAATGTTTGATGTTAATAAAAGGTCATTTTTGGTTTAACAGGCTTTTAAATACTTAAGAGAAGAAGTTAAAACATTTCAGGGCAAGCCAATCATGGTAAGAAACATTTTTAAATGAAGTAAGTCTTTTTTGGTGGGAGGTGATTGTTGTTGGGCTTTTGTTTATTGTTTCTTTTAAAAGAATTAAGATACATGAACAGATGTTTTATAAGACTTGTAATAATTTTAAAGCATTTTCTGACTTTGTCTTACTTTAGAAAACTAGTTTACAGAACTTGAAGTTCTTTACAGGGAAACAAAGTTTTTAAAGTGATTCACAGCCTGTAATTTCAGCTCTCAAAATGTATAGTAGGAATACTTCTTTAATAGTGATGAAAACCGTTTTCATTTTTCAGCCTTGTCTCAGTGACATCCATGTGAGAAGGAATTGCCATTAATAACTAACACTTACTCAGTGTGGTCCCGTGCTGCACTTCTTTCCAACACTATTGCTGCTCTTTAGATGTGAGCAGTTGGCTCAGCCTCATGGCCGTTGTGACTCCTTTCTTGTTTTCCTACTGTGAACCCGTTGCAGTTTTAAGCACTGTACACACATGAACACAGTGGGACAAGGGGTCAGGGCTCATATCTGTAATCTCACCATTCAGGAGGGTCAGACAAGAGAAGCAGTTGTCTCAGGCTAGCCTGAGCTACATAGTGAGTTCACGGCAGGTCTGGGTGCCTGGGAAAGACCTCCTAATGAGAGGTGTGGGGCCATTTCCTCCACTCACCTCCTGAGGAAAACGGCAATGACCAGCAGAGGCTCACGTGACTGAGTCAGTGACAAACAGGATGCAAGTAACTTGCACTTGTCACTGCTGGAAGCACTTGACACTTCTACCTGTAATTTCTGAGGGTAGAGTCCCATATTACAGACCAGCTTCATTTGCTAATACTCCTCTGCTTTTGAGCCTTGTCTCTTTTTAAATCACTGTCTCTCTGAGACTACAGAGGTTCTGTTTCCTGTCTCCCACTGACTTAAAGTTTTATATTTATATTTAGGTGTTTGATAAAACTTCACTATTTTGATACACACACATATATAGTAGAATAAAGCCTAATTCCATTATTATGGAATTGTCTACTTGTTGATGGAATCTGTCACATTTCAGAGACGTGTCTGGGGGGGGGGGGGTCTTTGTTCTGTTTCCTGAGTCTCTCTTTCCCTGGCCAACTACTGCTGTCTCCAGCTTCAGTGTCCTTTTTTCCATAGTGATTTCTTCCTTTCTATGATTTTACTCTGTAGCTCCATGTTTGATGCCAACAAAGAACCAAATAAAGCAATATTGAAATGGGTTAGCAGGTTTTTTTGTTTTGGTTTGGTTTTTTTTTTTTTTTTTTTTTTTTTTTTTTGGCTTTTCGAGACAGGGTTTCTCTGTAGTTCTGGCTGTCCTGGAACTCACTCTGTAGACCAGGCTGGCCTCGAACTCAGAAATCCTCCTGCCTTTGCCTCCCAAGTGCTGAGATTGACATTGCAAACTGGAGAAACAAACAAACACGTGATCAATCATATGCTTGCTACAATCGCTGTATTAGGTGTGCCAAAACAGATCAAGACTGACAATGGCCCAGGTTATACAAGCTCCAGTTTCCACCAATTTTGTGAAAAATTGGGAATACTACATAAAACGGGTATTCCATATAATCCACGAGGCCAAGGTATGGTAGAAAGGGCACATGAAACCATTAAATGTCAATTAGAAAAAATTAAAAATGGGGAATGGTACCTACTAAGGGATCCTCCAGAAATATCCTTCATCACACGCTCTTTTTTTTTTTTTTTTT